AAACATAATTTTATAATTCTTCATGATTATATATATATATTATTATTTTTTCGTTGAACTCGAATCAAATGGAATAAAAAACAAAATTTAGATAGATTCCTTCCCAAAGAAAAAAATTTTTAAGTTAACCCTTAGCGGCAGAAAGTTTACTGACAATCCACCATACATTTCCAACAATTTCTAAACCACTAACAACAGATTGATCATTAAATATAACTTCCTCTTCCTGGGAATCTTTACCAGATCTCCATAATGTAACATTCAATTCAGCATCCAAACTTTCTTCAATCATTAAAGCCATCTTGCCAAATCGTTTACTGGGACTACGTAAAGGAATACCATTTCCAGCTTTACGTTTAATATGAATTTCCAAATTTAATCCATTTGAAATATCTATAACATGTAATTTGACATATTGCACATATTGCATGGAAGAATTATTTTCATCCATATCAATAACTAAATCGATAACTTTAGAAAACAAATTGTAAGTACTGAAATTATAAGTAATATTTGATTTTGCATGATAAAAGACTATTATACGACCGGGAAAATGTAAGAAATCTTTCAGATAAGGAACTTTAAGTAATGGATTATCGGATGATACTAATGGAATATCGGCGATAGAAATTAATATCGAGGAACGCTTTTCTTCTTTTTCATTTATAAATGTATTTGATTGAGACCAAATCCAGGATTCAGGAAAATTTACACCCCAATCCTTTTCAATATAACCGGAACCATTTTCCAGATCAATTCTATCTTCTATAATTCCATTATTTTCCATATTAATAAATTCGATCATACCAGAAGATCTATGAGACATGCTTATGATTCCATGATTACATTCCAAGAAAGGAACATAAGCAAAAATACCCATCACATTTGGATGAGTAAAACTGAAAGGGTACGGAGTTGTATCATTGAAAAAGATGTATCCACGAACCGAATATGGGATAAAGGGGGGTCTTGTAATTGATAATTTCAAGGAAGGAATTTTTGATTTTGATTCTGATCCTTTTCCTATTATTCTACTCCAATCTTTAATTAATAGATCGGTATATGCGTCGTATTCAATATCTGTTGATGGAATTAATCTGATCGCAGGAAGACTTAATACCACTTCATTTTCGCTAAATTTATTTTGTCCAATCCTAATCATAAATTTACTCGAATCAGTACCTTTTGGATTAAATTCGCTAATATTATATCGATAATATAAACATTCATATCCGTCACGAATCACCATAACAAAAGCATGAGATTTTTCATCGTTTGGCGAAGCTGATTTATAAATCCCTGGTATAATTATAAGAGATTCATTTATGACTGTTTTATAATACCACCCTTCAAAATAATTTTTATGGATGTGTTCCCCGTGATAAAACGTTGGTTTATAAATTAATTTGATATTTGATATGATTAATTGATAATTTATGCTAAATGCATAAAATATGAATGCAAATATTATACCAATGAACGCATATTTTACTGTAATATTAACCATCTTTTTTGAAATTTCTTAACGAGTGGTATATTGAAAATTTCTGACTTATCATTAACGATCATTTTGTGCGACCTTGTGGTTGATCAGTAGAAAATATTATTGACTCAACGTCAGATATAAAGAAGATCAAATGATTAATTTGATTATCAAAACTCATTTCAGGATATCACCGTTGCAAAAATTTAAAAAATTTAATTTTAATTGCATAAAAAAAATATATATATATTGTTTGTAATGATTCTTTTTAACCCACAACCCCTATTTCCAAATTAGGGAGTTTATTCTGTCAGAATAATGATAAAATTGGTCGTTA